TTGGTTTGTTTGAATATTAAGTTTTGAATTTGAATTTCTTCAATAAAGATCATTGTTCCACATGTTAAAGTCTATCAGGCGAATTGATTCTCGGTCTTTTCGAATATTTCAATACGAAAGAAGTTTTCTAATCTCACTTCACTCATTACGTCATGTATCTTTGATAAACGTCAGTAACTTCATCTGCATCTTGATCTTCAAATGTCTTTTCTTCCAATAAACTATCTTCCCACTCAAATCATCTCACTGCGTATCGAAGACATCACTATTCCAATTGGCATGTTCTCCAATTTCAAATCACTTTGAATTGTTCATGGCTATGAATGGGAAGAAGAATGCCTCAATACGGCCAAACAGGTTAGACAAAATATCAATAAATAGTGGTAAAGTTATAAGAATCAAATTAAAAAAATTGAACTGAATAATATAAAGCTCGTTTACACACACATAATGTTATATTGAGTACAGCAGAGCTATAATCCGTCCAAACCGGCCGTTTTTTACCAGTTGAAAAAAATTATTTAGGTATTGCTTTCTTCCGTTCGTCGAGATTGTTTTATTTGTTTTTAAAGCGCAATCAAAACTATGCTACTGGAGGTCAATCTTATTTCATACATGTTTTGTTAAATATCAAGTTTAGGTTTGAATCATCTTTCGAAGAGAAAAGTTAGATGTTTCCAGAGTTGCCACCTTGTAATGTTCAAAAAGCAGAAAATGCCTCAGAAAAAACAGAAAATGACAGAAAATTCAAACTGAAAAAGCAGAAAAAAAAGCAGAAAGCATTTTTTCATGTCAAACTATATCTCAAGCATTTTCTCACTGTCACGAGAAGAATGTTCCTCACCAGGATTCAATCTTTCTCATGTGAACTCGGGTAAAAACTATTTAACAGATAAATACAATTTAGTGGCACATTTTCTTTCAATGTATATTTTCGTCTGAATTGATAGTTTCCAGTAAGTCATTGATCGATATTCGCCACGTTCGTATAATTTAACATCAGTTTATATCTATTTTTCCGTCTACCAAGCGACTGATTACACTGAGTTTGAAAAGAGAGTTAATCAGCTATAAAAACTGTTGAAAATACTTTTCATAACTGAATCTGAAATTCTGCTTTAGATTGTAAGATTATAGGTTATTCTTATATATTAAAGACAGAATTCCGATCTTTTCTACATAATGATGAGCGATAATGCAAATCAAACTCCTTCACATGTTTATTTTTTTTGGAAACATCTTATTATTGATGACGTCATTAGTAGAATTCAATTCATTTGGTTCTAGATACGTAGAAAAGCTGATCCATTTTTATACGAAGATAAATTTAAGTCAGCTATGAACATTTTTTTAAAAATCGAATCGATTAAAATTTGTTCCTTTTGTCTCAGATTAAATTATATTCTGTCACGAAGGGCTAGGTATTTGTATTCTTTTCAGCGTATCTCCTTGTGTGTTTGGAATATTAAACAGAATCGCGAACTAAGATGCAGATGAAATATGACTTCTTATATAATAGAAAGCTTAATATCCTGGATAGCACTATTACTCGTTACGCTTAGCTGTGAATAAAAAGATTATAGCACAATCTGATGTTGGAAATTGAGATTTTATCATTTTGAATATCTCAGTTATTGCTAGACTCATTGAATTATTTGTTAAAAACTAGTTTAATGGATTGATTAATCGAGAAAAAAGGTGTACTCAAGGTGTGCATGCATTATTTCAATGCTACAACCTGTTGCACGACACGTGATCTTGATAGTCATAGTTTGAACTCTAGAAGGAAAGGAAAAGGTAGGTTAAAAAAAGAGTCAAGACGGACCATGACAATAAGATTTGCGCTTTTTTGTAAAGAGCAGAAAATAGGCTTTGTTTCAAGAACGAAGGCTCATAGTTAGAAGAGACATTAGCAAATGGAAATAGCAATATTTCTCACATTTTTAGCGTAATCACTTACCAGAATCCAAGGTCGTCGATATAAATTATAACAAGAAAGACGTTTTTAAAAAGCAGAAAAAAATCCCAAAAGCAGAAAGGACAGAAAAAAAAGCAGAAAAACTTTCAAAAAGCAGAATTTTTCTGCTAAAAGCAGAAGAGGTGGCAACTCTGGATGTTTCTGTTAAGATTGAATGAAAAGATTCAAGATTTGGAGCTTGATGATCACTCGATGCAAAAAGGACTTGTTTAATCACTCCATATTTGAAAAATCGTCTAAACTACTTTTGAACTAATTGGAAAATTCTCGACCGCTTACAACCTTGAGTTGGTCACAATTTTTGTTATTGTAAGTGGCGTAGACGCATGAAGAATAAGACTATTTGCAATATAAGTATGCCAGAGAACACAAGTCTCAACACTGCTGAGTATTCAGAACGAAATTTTGTCTCCTGAATCAACTGGGTGTAGGTGTGGGTATGGGTGGGTGTGGATGAGCATGTGGGTCTTGTTGTCGACGTGATGTGTGAGTATTGATGCTCTAGTATTGTTCATCCACACCCACAGCTACAGCTACAGCCACAGCCACATCCACCCACACCCACACTCACACCCTCAATGAACCATTTCAGAGTGTAATTCTGTCCACTAGATGTGTTTTTCAGTTATTTTGTTCTCTATTTGTTGAATTTTTTTTACAGACGCTGTGCAGGTTATATTTTGAAAAAAATTCAAGTGCAACCTTCGAGAACTAAGAGATATATTCACCAAATACTTCAAGTGTAATTCTTTATGTGCCACCGCTAATATGACTTTGGAAACGGATAGAAAATTAGTTTATTGCTGCTATAATAACAATTTTCGGAACGTTTTTGTCATTGAAATATTCACATCTGATGTCCTTAGGAATGAGACCCAAACTGATTGCATTCTAATGCCATTTAGACAATATAAACAAACCTGGCAAATTATTAAAAATTGCCAGAACGCAGAACATGAGATATCAAGAAAGTTCAACTAAGTTCCTCAAGTGAGCTGTTTCTTCGCCTGTTTTCTGCATTTCATCACGAATGAATGTTACAAAGGAAATATGTTGCGATTGTTCCACACAATATCTATCGAACAATCCAAGCCTTTTATGCTGTTTTCGAATATTACATTGGTTTCGTCCAACTAGACCCTTCTTCCCCTCCAAATCTTCTAAATAATAATTCAAAATACCCCTAATTGGAGACCCGAGCAAAGCGTCACAAAAAACTACGAAATTATATCTCTATTTCGCCTTTAGAAAGTATATCGCGTCAATCCTTGCAAAGTTCTGACGTATAAGTAACACGAAAATAAATGTCCATTACAGCTTTGATCACGAAAATTCGTCACACATATTGCAAAAAATCTCAAATTAGCAAAAAAATAATAGCCGATAAATAGTTTGTATTACCATTCACCATGTGGCAAAACTTTTCAAGCTTCAGAAGAACATCATTTTGTAGCATTTGAAAAGTGCTACCGAATGGATAATACGAGTAAAAATGTTCATTTCAATTATGAGAACAAAATTCTTTCGCAAAGTATAGAAAACATGAATTTTGAACCAAAAGTGGTGTATCATGAATAGTTTGGTACAGGATATCAAATGCGGCCAAACTTTTTCAATTATTCGACGTATATAGTTTTGTAGCTTTTGAAAAGCGCTATCGATTGGTTAATACCAGAAAAAATGTTCATTCCAATTATGAGGACAAAATTCGTTCACAAAGATAAGAAGTCATCCAATTGATCAGCAAAATAGAAGTTTTTGGTTATGTGGTGGAAGTCATATAAAGTCATTAGACACTCTCGACAATTCTGCATCAAAATGATGGCCTCAACAAGTATGTTCGTCTCTCAAGCGATTTGACTTGATTGGAAGATAAAAATCTAACTGGTCGATTTGTGGTCTTATCCGTCCCTCGTCCTTTGAACACTACTAAATGATCATTTCATGATTATAGTCAATCTTCGCGTAAACACAAGATGGCGCTGCATATGAAATCCTTGTTACAGATTTTTGCTTGTTTAAGTGCTACTTTATATATCTTTAAAATGTCTTTCTCAAAGAATTGTTCAGAATGAAACGAAAAACTCTCAATTGTTTATAGATCAAAAGCATTCCAAAATGATGCATTTTAAACTAGGTTTTATGAATCTTTCAATATAGCATAAACTTGCCTAAATTCTATTCTATAGTTGAATAATAATTATCAAACGCAATAAGTAATAAATTCATGACTCTTTCCATTAGCATGTTACAATTGTTAGTTTCCTCAGCTTATTAAATATTTATTTCATAGAAGCGTTGTTTAAATGATTGTATACACTATTGAATAGATCAGAATTTGTTAATGAAATAAGAAAGAAATATGTTTTTTTTTCAAATATACAACTAACTTTGATGGGTTGAAAAAGAAATTAAGACCATTGAAAAGAAATAATAAGTATGTAATTGCAATCTTTTCTTTGTGCCAATTTCCTTGTGATATTTTTTCGTATTATTAGTTTCTCCAGCTTTGTCATCCATAACAGAGTTACTTTTTTGTTTTGAACTTTTACATGTATATGTATATATATAATGACTGATCTGTTGCAAATATTGTGGAGCTAACAAACAGTAGAAATTCTTCTTGCTTCATAATGATTCTAAATTACTAAAGTATTTTCTCATAAAATTAGAAAAGAAAACATAGTCAACCTATAATTTTTAAAGCATGTTATCTTAAGAAAAAATTCTTAAAGAAAATTTCATACAGTATAATAAAATGGTTTAATGTTATAAAGGAGAACATTTCGATTGTTACACAAATAAAACTATTTGAAACAATCAATCAGGATGATAAAAGTTTTATTTTCAATGTATCATCTTTGATATAATAAAGATAGAAGCAATTCTTCTTTTTCTTATTTATTTGAATTATCTTGTGTAGCAACGTATGAAATATTTTAATTTAATTGATATATCGAAAAAAAAACAAACAAACAAACAAGAATACATTAAATAAAATAATATTTAACTAATCGATACATTATAGTCGAAGATCAAAATCACTTTTCCATTGAATAGATTGTTGAAGTTTATGTTTACCTTGTTTAGACAAGTGACAATTCCATATCCAAAATGTTTTTAATGATTGATTATTTGTAATCATATTAAATATATAATCAATACTTGTATCAGTGATTAATTTATTTGAATATAAAGTTATTTCTTCAATTGTTTTATTATCAGATTGAATAACTTGACACAAATATTGAATAGCTTTATCAGTTATATTATTATCTTGTAATCCAAGTACAATTAAAGTTTCATTTGTTTTTAACATATCCGATAAATAAATAAGACCTTGATCAGTTATTTCATTTGAAGAAAGAACTAATTCTTTTAATGTTACATTTTTAAATGAAAGTGATTCTGATAATGATTTTATAGATTCATCAGATAAATGATTGTTCGAAATACTCAATTTTTTTAATGTAATATTCATGTTTAAGAAAGAAAATAATCTTGATATTGAATATGATGTTAAACAATTATTCCATAAAATAAGTGATTGACATTGTTTATTAATTAATGCTTTATTAATAACAATATCAATATCATGATCATTTATTTTTTGACCATTTAAATTAACAAGTTCACCTGTTTGGCATTTGTCAATCAATTCTACAAGTTGATTATTGTTATAAGTAATTTGATCAGCTATGACTAAAAATAAATTTATTTATATCATTGTTCTGTTATAATATTCTAAAATATCCTATTCTAGGAGTTTTATAGTTTGATATGAAAAAAACAAACATATCCTATCGAATAAAAATTAGTCAATTTCCAGAAATACTTGATCAAGACTTATTTTTATTGAAAACTTTCACTTTAAAATTGCTATTCGTTAGACACGGTCAATAAGAAAATAAATTTTCAAAGTTAAGTTCCTATGCAACACAATTCTTCATTGAAGTTCTGACAATAGAATGAATCTAGATATTCACTCGTAATTCTATTCATAATTGGCAAGCACTAAACCTAAACGTTCAGTGTCGAATTCAAGTTGGGTTTTAACTACGATTATTTTTAGTTAATTAATAAAATGAATTAGAAGTCAAAAGGGTATATATAAACACAGTCAAATAAACGATCTCAAAATGTAAGATCTGCAGATACACTAAAAAAGTCAACAAATTTCAGAAATATTCTAACCCTAAGTTTAACCTAACTTTTTAGAGTGCTTCCATGATTACTTATATGCTTCGAAAAAACGCTTGGCTAATTACACAAATACTCGGCAAAGTCTAATCTGGTAGGATAGCTTCCGAGTTTGAGCTAGAGGTCGGGTTTGACGGATATATAATTAACAAATAAAGACAATACAACAAAATAAGTCATTGGCATGTTTATGTAATATTAGTTTTATTGGTAGAAACAATAATTGGCATTCTTGAACCTACGTATTTGTTTTAGTTTCTAGTTATTAAGTCGAATTATAGTTGATTTTAGAGTTTTTACAAACAATACTATCAAAATAAAGGACTTCACAACAGATCAATCATCATTAATATCAGGTCATGAATATGAGGAAGACGAATTGTAATAAAAGATATGTATTTTCAATGTAAATTAATTGTTTTTACCATTTATTTTTTTGTCTTGTTGATGAATATCTTAAATGTCAGTCAAGAATTTCAAAAACACAAGGATCTTGTATGAAGTATTGGCAAAACGTGTTATCATCCACTATCAGCGCGAGTAACAAAAAGATCTTGCCAAGACGACAAGTCTTGCGAACCGGCATTTCACTACTACACAATATTAAACCAACATCGCAAAATTACGAAAGAATTATGTTTTATACTGTCAATCACGACCCATGTTCACTCCACTACTACCCGTTTTTCTAATAAAAAATCGAGATCTAAGCGTTAATATATGTATCATATCAGAACTATGCTTTTGTATTACTAATTTAAAAAAAACGAATATGAAAGAAGAATCTAAGTTGGATATTAGTCTTATAAACACTTATAGGGGGCGAAAGCGATTAATAATGAATTGGTATAAAAAGCTATTTTTTGATATGTTTGCCATGTTGTTTTGGTATTGTGTTGTGATGGATGTAAGTTCTCAAGATCTATCATACTATCAATATCTCTGTGGAAATCTCGTTGATAGTGGATAATAGCATGCTTTACTTATACCCTCTTCTCAGTCGAGATAATATTCATTTTATCGGTCAAAGTTCGATTTACGTGAATCTTTGTCAAGTAAGAATCTTTTATCTGAAGTATATGGAAAAAGAATCTTAACTAATAATTAGGTCAAGAAAACCAAGGATCTACAAAGAACAGAAACACGAGTTTTAATCAGTGAAACTTTCAACAGAAGATAGGATCACAAATCGATAATTTTTCTCTCTTACTTTTGTCACTTTAAATTAATGGACAGTTCTAGAAAAGATTCAAGGAGGATGAGCTTTATCAGAAACCTTCGAACTGTCATTTCGAGATGAAAAATATTGAGTCTGTTTGTTTTACTGAGAAATATGCAAATGATTGTTTTAAATTATTCGATAGCGTTAAGACCTATGTTTAGTAGTGGAGTGAGGAGATAGTAGGATGAACTTGAACCTCTCTAAGCTATGTTTCTAGCTAGCCACTAGGCTTATTTCAACACAAATAAAGAAATAATACTATTATTCAATTGGAAAACGAAATATTTGTCTTCTTTTTTTTCAAATTTTCCTTTAGGGTAACAGTTTAAATTGATTATATCAAACAAGACGATGTTATATAGAATACTAATGATAATTTTTCTTTGTGTTTTAATTTTCTATTTCATACAAAAACTTCTTTTTCTATTATCTTATTTTTATTTTCGATAGAAAGGTGTTGAAAGAAACATTTATTTATCGAAAGACAGATTTTTCTCTCCTTCAAATAATTTATAACCTACTTCTACTGCATGTTCATAACGAACTGTTACAACAGAATAGAGAAGCACTTTTCATATAATGTAGAGTAACGATATAAAATATCAACTTCTATATTTTTCCTTAATAAACACATGTTAGGACAATAGATTATTTTTTTAATCAATTGATAGGACAAACACCTGCACATCAAATTTGTAATTTTTATATTAATTTATAGAACAAAGACTTATAGCATATTAAACAAATATTTGAAAAAATTTTCATTGTAATGTCTGTGAAATCAAAATGTGAAACACGATTGATATGTTGTACTTGTTAAGGAACACTCCATACATGCTGACTGTATTATTTTTGATGGTTAGCTAGACTAGATTATCGAAATACCTGTCAAGTTCTATGACGTTATAAGGCGCTACGCTCATTGTTTCAGTTAATAATTGTTGTGGAATCAGTCAGCACAGATCATCTAAGTATTTCAATGTTATTCAATCGACAATTAATCGTAATTTATGAAGAAGAACATCAGTTCTCGTCAGAATAACATTGAAATATTGCAAAGATGAATAATAAAGTTCAAGATAAAAAAGAACCAAACTAGACTGTAGGGAAAGCCAGACAAAATACTATTCATCGTAGTTATGATATTAGTTTACAGTATGAAAAATATTACACACTAACGAGGGAGCATTCCCAACTGTCACGTCGCTTTTGAGTCGAGCGTATGTGCATCATGTAGGCTCTAATGATCTACGAATACTCTGAAAAAAGTTCGTGCTGCTAGCTTATTACTATCGAGATATTGCATTTTTACTATATGCTTAAGCAGAAAGCCGTGGTTCCTCTCAAGAACACTAGGAAAACTGAGTTTCGAATTTCAACTTGAAACTTTGTACAAAGATAGACCTCAATGAAAATAGTTTATTCAGAAAGTTTCAGATCTTTTGATTGCTCCTAGTCTGAAATAAGAATATCGGAATCTGCTGGTGTATATCAGCGATTTTACAATAGCTGTATCTTAGGATACGAACAACGAAAAGATCTGAAACTTTCACAATAAACTATTCTCATTGAGGCCTATCTCTTTGCAAAGTTTCAAGTCAAAATTCGAAATTCAGTTTTCCTTGTGTTCCTGAGGGGGACCACGACTTTTTTCTTAATCATACAGTAAAAATGCAATATCTCGGTAGTAATAAGCTAGCAGCACGAACTTTTTTCAGAGTATTCATAGATCATTAGAGCCTACATGATGCACATATGCTCGACTCAAAAGCAATGTGACAGTTTGGAATGTTCCCTCGTAAGTGTGAATAGTGTTATAGAGATGCAATAGTAGACTTACTATGTGACTGAATAACTGGTCGATCTAATTTCGCTTCTAGTCGTTTAATATTAATAGTAAGTTGATCAATTTTTATTTTATATTGAATAGATTGTTCAATAAGTTGTTGATTATTTGCTTCAATCTGTTCGCAGTATTGTTTTAACTGTTCAATTTGTTTTTCATATTTAATTAATTGTGCTTTTAAGTGATTATTTTCTTCATTAATTAGAAAATATTGTTGATTAGCTGCTTCAATCTGTTTGCAGTATTGTTTTAACTGTTCAATTTCTTTTTCATATTCAGTTAACCGTACTTTTAAATGTTGATTTTCTTTATTATTTAGAAAATATTGTTGATTATCTGCATCAATCTGTTTACAGTATTCTTGTAAGTGTTCAAGTTCTTGTTCATAAATAACAATTGTTTCTTGTAAATATTGATTTTGTTTATCGAAAGAATCATTTTGTATTTGTTGTTGTTGATAAAGTTCATTTAAAGTTTGATTATTTATTTGAGTAAGATTCAATTGATTTAGATTTTCTTGAAAAAATTTTATTTTTGCTTGAAAATTTTCAATAACAATATTTGTTAATTGTAAAGATTCATTAAGGATTTTCAATTCAATTTCAATATCATTATTATTTATTTCATATTGATCACATTGATCTTGAATTAATTGATTTTTAGATTTTAATTCATTTATTTCATTTATGTGTTCATCAATTTTTTCATTTAAAGATTTATTTTCAATTTCAAAATTTTCCAATTTATTTAATTGTTCATTTAAATTTTTATTTTCAATTTCAAATTTTTTCATTTCATTGATTTGATTATTTAAAATTTCATTTTCATTTTCAATTTGTTGAATTCGATTTTGTTGTTCTTGATATTTATTTTCAAGACTTTGAAAATCTATTTGAAGTTGATTTAATTCATCAATACGTCGAGCATCATTAATAAGTTTAATAAGAACAGTTCGAAGTTTTTCATATGGACAATGATTGAAATGTTCATTTAATTCATCATAATGTCCATTCCATGGACATAGAATATCATTAGCTGAGCAATCAACAATTCTTTTTGGACATTGTTGTTGAATATGTTCGGAAAAATTTGATCGTTGAATATTTTCTTCAGAACAAGAACAACATTTTACAAGAAGTTTATCAAGCATTTTTCGTAGAATTGGATTTTCACTTTTTAAATCATTATTTGATAAAGGTTTTTTATTACATTCTGAACAGTTATTCGAATGATTTTCAAGATTAGTTTGAATACATTTTAAACAGAATGTTTGTTCACATGGCGAAGGTAAAATAACTGGATCAATAAATGGCTTTTTACAAAGTTTACATATAAAATCAACAGGGATAGTCGATTCTTCCATATATTCGTAATTATCCATCGAAAATTATGTTGAAAAATTCTAAATTTATCAACTACATCATAGTTTTTCAATATTAAAACATAAAATATTAATCGAATTTCTATTTAAGAATCATTTTTTTTACATATTGATAAACAAAAACATTTCCCAATGAATGTTATTTTTAAAGAGCAAATCAATTTATTTCGTTTTTCACAAAAATCTTTGTTTTTCGTGAGTTTTAATCTTGAGGGTCACTCCTTTACTCACTGAATCTTTTTTGTGGTCATTGTATAGTTTAGAGTGGTATTTATCTACTGAATAGATTTTGGGATCCAAAAGTTGTCGTTCAAGGTTAAGTAGATCGAGAAAAAAAATCAAATTTAGATAATGAAAATAGTGAAAACTGTAGATTGTTTCGTATTGTTCCCAAAACATTTTTTTCATTAGAAAAGTGCAGAAACGTTCCTGTTTCTCTGAAGTAGTATATCCGATCGAGTCGAAACTTCTTTTTTTTTTACATAGATTAGACACTGTTAGGAATGAGTATTTTTTTTCTTTGAAAAATTGCTGTTTTGTTGATTGTTGGTGGCTTGTACAAGAAAACTTCAATTAAAAGAAAATGCTTCTTTTAAAAGGTTCTTCGATATTTTACCTTTTTTTTATTCGAACAACAAAAAATAAAAATAACCGAAAAACATATGTATTCCAAACGATGAAACGAAAGATTTTCAGCTCAATCTAACAAGGTATCTTGGAGCAATGGGAGCGAAACTTAGAACGATTTTTTGCTATTGTGATTCCTTGAAGATTTCTAATTTTTCTGATGAACCGTTCTCCAGAAACTTTGGAACAGGGAGGGGGTTACTCTAATGAAATGTTAAATAGTATTTCAACTATATATGAATTGAACAAAGTATTTTTGTTTTGTAAAATTTCAATCGATCTTAGAAATAATCATTGATCACAAGTCAAAAATCACAATTTGCTTTTCTATTTGTCAGGCAAATAGATGTTTATATGTAATCTAAATAGTATTGATCAAAAAACACAAGAACAAACATTTTTGATTTGTTTTTTTTTTTTTCACTTTTTCTCTTCTTTCTTGAATCTATCTGTCTACTTACACATATGCACTCAAGTATGCTCTATCAGAATATCAATTGAAAATTTTTCAATTAGTTATTTATTTTGATAAAGAATTACTTGTATAAAAAAAAAAGTGACTTTTTATCTTGGCCAAAACTATAAGAACAAATATACTGTAGCGGATCAATTCAATAGTGAGTGAAGAAATTCAAACTTAACTTGTTTTAGTATCATACAAAACGTCGACATACACACAAGTATATTGATTCAAGAAAGAAAAAAAAATAAAATATTTCAAAAAGATGCTCGTTCTTGTATTTTTCATCGACTACGCAGTTGGATACGAAATTTTTCTGTGTTAACACATTTTTTTCAATAAAATATAAATTTGTAAAAAAAAGGAAAAACAAATACTTCTATTCAGAATGATTGCATGCGATTATTTCAAAGTAAATACTATATACAATTCATAGTTATATTCAAGAATTGGATCAAACATTTTTGTTGAATATTTTAATATTTCAAATAAAAATCAAATTTAGTGAAGAAGATTTTAAAACATTGTTACATTCATTTCATGAATAAATTCAACAATCAAAACTTAAGTATTTTATATTTGATCATGCTTAAATTTTTCGGTCTTTTTTCTCCAATTACAATCGTATATGAATTATAGATGGATTTCACATAATTATTTCGTCCTACGTTGCTTCTAATTTTCTCAAACACTAAAGAATCGAATTTTTAATCGCATTCGTGAAGTCAGTTTCAACTATTTCATTATGTTGACAGCTATGTCAACACATTCTGAATAATTTTCATTTGACGAACTGCTCAAGTTGTCTCTTTTTTTTTGGCAACTGCGTTGCAAATCGATTGTCATCGAATATATGGGTGATTAAATACTTAGATAATTAAATTTTGGCATTACGATTCTTTGATGAATGTTTATTTTAATAAAGGAAATCTTGAATTCTATTCTTATTTATCAATGAATTATTAGAAAATGTAAAAAATTTTATTATTTCATTGTTAAACTATTTATAAATCCTATGAAAACTTTGGATCGAAATATAGTAGTTAATAAACTTACAAAAATAAATTCTAGTTGAAATTAATAGAGTTAACAGATTGATTGAACCACTAATGACGGTGAAAGTTTGTGAAAAATATCCAACTATCGACTCCAATTGCTGCACAATTTTTAAAATTTATTACCTACCGTCTCTGAAAGGAAAAAGAAAGTAAGACTGAATTTCAGCGAATGACGGTGATTTTTGGACCAACGTGTTTTTTATGTTGACATAAGTGTTTACCACGAGAACAAAAGTATATTATTACATCGTAAATAAACGAAAGAAAGAAAAAACCTTTTCTTCTTTATGTGTTGCATTTAGAGGTGTCCGTCGATGAATTGATCGACGACGCGGGTAAAAAAGTTTTAACTTTTTCAAATCTTAGGCAGCGTCTAATTCAAAATCTATAGTTTCTTCAGCGGCGGCTGAACATTTCTAAATTAAACGATGGTTTAGATGAAAAGAAATGCCTATTTATTTCAATATATGATTATTAGTATTTGCAAAAAACTAAATGAAACAACTGTATTTCGCACGTTCAATTTAGTCAAGACATTATATTTGAACAATATAGAGATAAGTAATGAATCGCTAATCAAGAGATTCAATAATTCCAAATACAGACAGATTTAATTGATATGTATCAGATGTTACAAAACTTTTTCGTTTTAATCTTTGACGATAGAGCCTGGAAGACGACTTACACAAAACATTAATTTTGATATATGTCCAAACTATTGTTTTAATTCTACAGCTTTTATTCTATTGTGATTTAGAGAAAACGAAAAGCAAATATGTTAGTTTGTTGTATGGATTTGTTGAGTTTCTATTCATCGATGAATTGCCAGTAAGAGATCTATCATACTTCCTGTGCCTTCTTCAGCACTATAAACGCTACTTATTTCTCTGTTGAGGATGAAGTAGCACATATTTATTTAAATTTTAACGTATCGAAGATCATCTTGTGATAAATTCATTTAATATCAAATGATCCATTCGCTCTTTTGTGCAACTGACGCAAAGAACAGCAGATAAATTATTGCTTTAATACATTCGGTAGATTTATTCGAGTAAAAAAGGTTTCATTGAAATTATAAAAATTGACTCTTGAGATTAAAAGATCACTTCTGATTTGATTGCCATGGTTGAACTTCTTTTATTATGTGCATAAGTTTCGTGAGCTTTTTGGACAATAAAGTCGTATGACATGAAGAACACTAGCATTTTCATGTTCTTTGTTAAATCAGCAAAACAATTTATTCGTTCTTCCGTGGCATTCACTGTATTTATTTTATTCTTGCTCTTTTCTTATTGATTGTCTATGATTTTCCTCGTGTTCAGCCTACTCAAAGCATCATATATACTAGTTAATTACGTGCACTAGTTATTCATGAGAAAATAAAAGAAATAAAGTGTGACAAAAAATTTTTGAAGACTCAACCAGGTACTTAAGATACTCATACAAAGATCTAAACTGGAAAAAGATATTCAAATTTATTTTCCTAAGAAGACAATGGTTTAAAAGTCTAACTTTCAAATGTTCGAAGCCCCAGCTCTTTTCATTTTTGAACTATTCAAAACATTAATTTTTGTTCATAAATCATTGTTCTTTGGCTTCTTTCATTCGTTTATCATAGGAATAATCCATGAAAGGTAGTCCTAAATAAAAGACGATGTGCAAATGATCTTTCGGTTGAAATGGTTTCACTGAAGATTCAGCATGTTTTGCTTGATGCTGTTGATATTTTATCGATAAAAGACGCATCGCTTCGCCACATATAATTCCCACATGAGAGTCAATAGCACAAATTATATGCCACCAAGCATGCAATTGTGGATTAAAACCACCTTTACTATTCATTCGTTCACATAATTGTTGATCAATAATCCAACAGATCAAAGCTAGAATTAATAAACCAACATATATCACAATTAAATACTTGATAGAATTTGTATGATGTTGAGTTTGTCGATATAAAAAAACTAATTTCATAATTCCTCCTAATACCATCAATGTAAAATGTACTTGAAATATGATGACAAATGTTTGTAAACTATGCAGATACGTCCATAGAACAGCGTAAAGTATTCCAAATACAATAGCTAGGTCAAACGCATAGATTTTATCTTGTAATTTATTGAATCTATCCATTCTAAAGAGAATAAACCACCAGACAATCATTGAATAGACCATAGGAAGTTCATCGGCCATTTGACCTAAATGTGTAAGTGTACCATGGAAATAAGCAGAACCGAATCCGACTATACCAAAGGATAAACTAAGCAAGAGAAAACGATTTTCAATTTTATTATATAAACCTTGAACGAATAATATTCCAGCTAATAAAGACATGAGCAAGCTTGAAATACAATTCCAGAATTCAGCAATATATTGTGTTATGACATAATTTCGTTCACACCAATCGATTGAACTAGTACTCGGTGACCAATAACCTGTATTCGTATCGAGTTTCGATTCAAAATGTTTTACATCCGATCGATGAGTTTGACTATTTAATACTGCTCGTGCTTCAATTATAGCTGCACAAAATATTATACTTGATAATATGTAAAATATCAACGTTGATGGGAACATTTTGAACAAAATTTATTGTATGAAAGATCAAATTGTAACGTTATTTGCTGACAGAGTGCACCAACGCACTCTTGGACGTATTCTATTTGTTTTCCAATTTCGATTTTTTTTCGATTAAATATCTAGTTAAATAAAAAAGAAAATGACTATATTTAATTATGATTCTCGTTTGCAATTTCAGTCAAGGACAGTACATATTCAGTGTGTTGAGTAAGAAGTACAAACGAATTTTAAAATTTTAATAGCTCCGGTATTCATCATAAACTTTTGTTTTTTTT